GAGATTATTTGGAAACAGAGCTCAAGAGCATATTGGCTGAAGGGTGGTGATAAAAACACCAAGTTCTTTCGCTCTAAAGCTACGGTTAGGAGAAAATGAAACACAATCAAGATGTTTCAGGATGACAGGGGAAGAATCTTTAGGGGTCGTAGATAAGTTATGGGATGCATTAGTAATTACTACAAGAATTTGTTCACCAGGGGTCCCATCCCAAATTCTGATTTTGTAGTGCAAGCGTTAGAATGGAAAATCACCCCTACTATGGATGAAAGAATTTTGCAACCTTTTAAAGCGGAGGAGATTAAATAGGATCTCGATCAGATGGGCCCTAACAGCTACGATTAGGAAAATCACCCCTACTGCGGGCCGGTTTCTTTCAACAGAATTGGAATTCTATCGGTCCTAAGGTAACGGAAACAACCCTAAACTTCTTACATGGAGGAGAGTTACCCCTTGATCTTAATCACGCTCTTATTGTTCTTATTCCTAAGGTGAAGTCCCCTTCTACAACAAAAGTATTCAGACCGACCAGCCTTTGCCGAGTTGTCTATAAAATCATCTCTAAGGTTTTGGCTAATAGATTGAAGCTAATTCTTGATAATATTATTGCTGAAGAGCATAGTGCTTTTGTCCTGGGGAGATGTATCACTGAGAATGTGATTATTGCCTTTGAATGCTTTTAGTTTATGAAGCACAAAGAAAAGGGGAAATAAGGTTTCTTTGCGGCCAAACTCGACTGGCCAAGGCCAATGATCGAGTTGAATGGTTCTTCTTGGAAAAGGTTATGAGAAAGATGGGTTTCAACGAAAGGTGGATTGATCTCATTCTTAAATGTGTTACGTCAGTTTCTTACCCGGTGCTTGTGAATGGTCATAAATCTTATTGTTTTTCTCCATCCAGAGACTTAAGGGGGATCACCCTATTTGTTCTTGTTATGTGTTGAAGATTTTTCGGCTATGATTAACAAAGCAGAGAAAGAAAGGAAGCTCAATGACATTCAGATTAGGATGAAAGCCCCTATGATTTCCCACCTCCTATTTGGAGACTATAGTGTGGTGTTTGGGAAAGCTACTCTTAGCGAATGTTATCAGTTGAAGGGGCTCTTGAGTACCTATGCTAAGAAATCTGGTAAATTGATAGATTTCAATAAATATGACATCTTTTTCAAAAAAAAAAATGTGAGAGTCAGCAGAAGACTTGAAATATGTGGTACTTTGGGGATTAAGGAGGTAGAAAACACCCTAAGTGTCTGGGACTCCCCCACGGTGGTGGGCAGATCGAAGAAGGTGTTTTTGAGAAGATTAAAGAAAGAGTTTGAAAGAAGTTGAAGGATTGGAAGAGTAGAACCTTATTTTAGGCGGGTAAAGAAGTCTTTATTAAAGTTGTGGCTCAAGCCCAATTCCTCTACCCTATGTCTGTTTTCTGATTTCGGAGGATACTCTTAAGGAAATCCAGCTAACGATCTCCAATTTCTGGTGGGGACAAAAGGGGAAAGAAACGAAGATCCATGGGCTCAAATGGGAGGAGCTCTGTGCTAATAAAGATGTTGGTGGAATGGGTTTCAAAGACTTACATGCTTTCAATTTTGCTATGCTTGGTAAGCAAGTTTGGAGGATTTTGGATAAACCGGACTCATTGATGGCTAGGACTCTCAAGTCTAGATATTTCCCGAATGCATATATTCTTAATGCTAAAGAGGGATACGAAACCTAGCTTTATATGGAAAGTATTGTCACTATAAAGGATAAGGTGGAAGAGGGTTTTAGATTGAGAGTGGGAGATGGGGAGTCAATCCGGGTTTGGGAGGATGCGTGGATTTCTGGAAAGAGGATCTATCACGTTGATCCTCAAACTTTCACTATGGACCATAATGAGATGGTTAGCTCTCTTATCAATCAGGAAAGGGAGGTTGGGACAGGGACAAGTTGCATGAGAGGTTTTCTAGAAGTGATTGTGATCTCATATCCAGAATTCCAATCCGATTTCCACTGAGAAATGACAAGCGGGTTTGGTTGGATATTAAGGATGGTGTCTATTCTATTAAGTCTGCCTATTACACGATTAGGGAGCAACATCGAGACTACCTGGTTAGTGAGTATGTCCCTTCTAATGAAGACTTTGAATTTTGGAAACAACTATGGAAGCTACATGTGTCGGCGAAAGTGCGCCTATTTCTTTGGAAAGCTGGAAGGAATATCTTACCTGTGGGTAGCCACATCGAAGAGTGGATTGATGATGCAAGCCCGAATGCCCCTTTTGTGGTCTCCCGGAGAACTAATCTCATGCTTTGGGGGACTGCATTTGGATCAGAAACAGATGGCAGACATGGTAAGAGAAAGAGATGTATGAGATTGGAGACGAGAAATCTTGTCTTGAGTGGTTTAAAGAACAAGAGAAAATCCAACGTTTCTGTGTTGTTCTGTGGAAAGAATGTTGCAATCATATGAACAACAATATCAAATTGGCTGAGGATGAGATAATCCCCAGAGCTTTGGCCTAGCTTCGCTCATTCCTTGATTCTCACAGTTCCATGGAGCCTCTCTCCTCGACATGCAACAGAGCTTCAAGTTCAGATAGATGGTCGCCTCTGCTAGAGGGAGCTTTCAAATTGAACTCCAAATCTAGAATCGTGAAGGAGACTGGAATTGGGATGGGTTGCATCATTCGGGACTGGAGGGGTGATTTCAAAGGAGCCACCACTTTGAAGGAGAAGGGAATTTGTAGGCCAATCGAGGCTGAAGTGAGGGCGACTGTAATGGGGCTACGAGAAGCAAATACAAGAGAATTTAGCTCTCATTGTGGAATCGGACTGCCAAGTTCTTATGTGGAAATTGATCAAGCGGGAAGGGGATCAAATGAGGTGGGGCTTTGGTGTTAGGATATTTGGAGTTTGGCGGAGGTTAATGCGAGTCTTTCCGGGATCCCTTTGAAGTGGAACTTCTCTCCTCGTAAGAACAACAGTGTAGCTCACTGCCTGGCGCACTCGGTTGGTTTGTGGGATCGTCAATGGTCTGGGTGGATAACCCACTGATTTAGTTATTGTGTTTGATTGAGTCCGATCAGGTCCTATTGTAGCTGACTAATGAAATGAATTGAGTCCGATCTTCCATATTGTAGTTATTGTGTTCCCGTAAAACAGTTTGTGTCTAAGACCTAAACTACCATAAACATAAAACATATTACCTTTATAGTTTATACTCTACTAATTGGACCGTATATGATTAATCTGGCTCAAGATAGGTCATTAAACATTGGTTACTCACGCATAACTAACTAAATCTGAACTTTCCTTTTTTTTAAGTGGATCCAAAAATCTAGATATTTGCACATGTTTTCCTTGATATTTGCACATGTTTTCCTCTTCATTTCTTGATCGTTCAACTTGGCAATTGATCGTTCCTTGGCCTATTTTATGCTAGATTATGTTACTTTATCACATTTCAAGTCCTAGCACATACAGTGAAGCATAGGAGCAAGTTTCAAGTCAATCGGAGATCAATTGACGACTCGGGGGGAGAAACTTGGGCATGACTTGAGGATGAGTGGATTTCTACCTCATTTTATTGACAAATAATCGTGTAATGTTGTCATTAGAAGGAAGAGGAAGACTACGAGCATCTGGGATCAAACGGCACCTGAATCGGAGGTCAAACGAGCTAAATGAAGCTTAGGAGTGCGTTTTAGAAATTGTGCACGACGTGCGAGTTTTCCAGGAGGTTTGCACGGCCAAAAAATCAATTTGCACGGCCGTGCAAGTCGGGGGTGCGAATTTCAGTGGGTATTAAGTGTTGTTTTGTGATTTTTGTAGAGAGAGAGCGGGTTTTGGATCCCAAAAACTCAAGGGACGAACCAGAGAGATAGAGATAGGGCGATCTAGAGCCATTCTTGGAGCTATTTTGGAGGATTCCTCACCATTGAAGCTCAAGGAACAAGTCTAGACATGAAGATTGGAGATCTAGAAAGTTATATTGCATTCTCTCTCTTCTCTATGGAGTTTTCCTTCACTTAGGTTTAGAGGAACCCTAGCCATGTTTGTTTGATTGGATGACTATATGAGTACTCCTATTTGATAATCTTCAGTTCATATTCAATCTATGCATGTTTTCATGATTCAATTCTGCTTTAGTCCAGATTGTTGATTTTGCTTTGATCCTATGAGAGGGAATACCTGATTAGGTCAATAGAGCACCATAGATTGATAGTATTGGATTGATTCCTTTGGTCGAGGGTCGATTCAATGATTTGTATTAATTGAGAACCTCATTCGATAGAGTGAATCTAGTTTAGAATGCCTTGATCGGTTGTTCTAGAGAAGGATACATCCCTCTAGGAAATCGACTCAAGAGGGCCTTGATTTCTTTAGTCGAGATTCAAGGTCTAGTCAAGGATTCTCCGCATTGTGAATGAAAGTGAAATAGGTTAGAGATCATCAACCATTAATCTGGCTAGTGGATAGAGGAATTCATAAATAAGTGAGTTCCCAACCTGTAATTAGTAGGCTAACCTAGTTTAGCTTGTAGAGTAGTTTAGTTAATCAAACCCTCAATATGATTTGCTAGATAATGAACTGAAGTTGAGTAATAGTACATCTGGAGACCCGAGGATTCGATATTTATTACTTGGACCACTATACTGCAGTCCCTTTCATTGGTTACACTTGGCCCTTGTTAGGAGTTGTGTCGTAGCGAGTCAAGTTTTTGGCGCCGTTGTTGGGGAATTTCTGGATTATTAAAAAGGCATAAGTTTGTTAATTTTGCTGCATTTCTTTTGTATTTCTTTTCCACCCTCGCTTTTCACTTGGGTGTTTTGTTTTTGTTGGTGCAGATTTGAAATATGGATCCTCATGGCTTCTCCAACCATTGGTTGTATCCACCACTACCCGAGTGATATTACCCCGAGACTTCCTAGAGCAACCAAGGAGGAGAAAACTATGGATTGGGTTTTCAGTACCAACCCCTTACTACGGAGAACAACCAGACCCTTGGGAACCTCAAGAACAATATCCTTATCAAGAAGAATTCCTCCCACAACCAGAGGGACCATCGGAGCTAGAGTTAGCCACGGAGGCATTCACGGGCCATTAGGCAGAGCCATGCTACACTCCACGGCCAGATCCAAATTGTCAATTGACGCTTCTCGTGGAGCAGTTTGTTCAGGACATCGAGAGATCCTTCCCCAAGATGGACCTTATAATCAAATCAATGGCTCCTCCGGTTGTTCCTCGTGACCCTTCCTTTCTCCGTGAAATGGAGGAGACTATTCAGCACTCAACAAAGCAAACAGAGCGGGTTGAGCAAGTTTGTGCACAGCTTGATAAAGATCACCTTTCTGCTACCATAGAAGAAGATGAGGAGGATGAAGGAGGCTACAAGGACATTGTGGAGCAAACAGAAGTTGTCACGGAGAGCTCCCGTGATGATCATGATCAGGTTTTTCCTGTTGTAGCCGAGCACACCTTCCCACATCCCACACCGAGCTTTGAAGAGGTGGGCATGAGTGAGGAGATGCAAGATGATCTCATCGAAGAAATTGCTTGGCGACTTGCTCTCCAATCCGCGTTGGAAGAAGAAGAGCGAGAAAGGATGCGAGAAGAAGTTGTGGAGGATGACGAAAATGAAGTAGAAGGAGTTCTTGATCTTTTCCCAGGGTTGATACCACATTTTGTATAAGGAAGAAGGGTTGAGGAAGCAATTGGCATCCAGTCTGAGGAAGAAGTTGAGGTGCAAGAGGCTTGAACCAGCCATGAGTTACATGTGATATCTCCATCAAACTTTGAGGAGCTGGTTGGCATGGACCCATTTGCAGTGTCTCTTTGCCACACCAAAGCCACATACATCGGTCCCGCTTAGTGGACACAATGGTGGTCAATCGATGCTTTCATATTTGGTTTGGGGCAATGAGACGAGAGAAGAAGAGAAGAAGAGGTCTCGAGGGTGGAGACTTTATCTGCATCAAATTCACGAGCCCACATCACCTCCTACACCACATGCTCGTGAATTGAGGCTCCACCTCATCGACGAGAACCTCAACTTTACGGAGGTTTTGGGGTGGAACGAAACTTAGGAGCCACCGTCAGGCTCAAGGCGTGAAAGATGCGCTTGTTGGGAGGCAACCCAACTAGTCGATATGCATTTCTTTCCCTATATCTCTTCGGTTGAGTCGGTTTTGTCTTTGATTTTAGAGTCAATAACTCAACCTTTGTGAGATTTTGTGTGGTGTTTGTGTTCCGACCACTCTCACCTCCTGGAATGCACCGCCTGCCCCGTCCGCCATCATTCACACTTGATCTGGTAACTTCGTTCTAACCTCCTTTTCTTTCCTCCATTGAGGACAATGTCGTGTTTAAGTGTGGGGGTGTTCCATTATGTTTGTGTGTGAATGTTTGGTTGTATGTGTGTGCTTGGAGCCTAGTCCATTGTCCAAATTTTATGATTTGAGGGCTCTAAGTACGTGTTCCTTGAAATTTCTTGCTCAGTATGCTTTGAATTGACAGTCTTTATAGTGTTATGCAACCTAGGGAGGTACTTGTAGCACTATGGAAGATGTTGATGCATTGAGAAGTCTCTTTTCTTCTTCATATTGTGTTGGTTGATTGTGTGAATTAGTGGTCTAATGACACTTGAATCATGTGGTATCGATGACTCTCTCCCTGTTCATGGGCTCTTGTATCAAGTTTTGAAAAAGGTGCTCTAAATTGTGCTTTTAAAATAACGCCTCCCGTGTGGAAATCGGTGAAAGTGTGTAAGGGGAGACAGGAATTGTTCCCAACTTCCACATACTAACTCCAGCCCCCTTACACACTATTTCTCCCACACGAGCCTTGAGACATCTGCTCCCGGCATGGTCGGTAAGAGCCGCTCACAGCATGGCTGGTAAGAGCTGGACTCCCTCAAAATATTGGCTTGGTGGGAGCCCGTTTTCTGAAAAATAACTGGTTGGAATCTTTGCAAAAAGAAAAAAAAAGAAAGGGGGTTCCAACCATCTTCGAAGGAAAATAAAACAGAGCACCTAAAAAGTTGAGTCCATGATTCCTTCTGTTTTTTAGAGTCTGTTTGTCCACGAATCCCTTGTCCTCTGATCACTACTTCGCATGATCCCGAATCGGGACTAGAGTTCTCGCCGAAGAAGCTAGGGGGTATCTTGTGCGTTGATTAACCTCATAAGCTGCTAAATGATCTAGGAAGTCCTCTACCGATGATCGGGGTTGCACGTTGCTATGGAGGTATGGAGAGTTGCATTGGTTTGAGCCAGATTTGCTTGGGGACAAGCAAACGGTTAAATGTGGGGGGATTTGATGACTCGATATTTGCACATGTTTTCCTCTTTATTTATTGATCTGTTAACTTGGAAACTGATCGTTCCTTGGCCTATTTTATGCTAGGTTATGTTCCTTTGTCATATTTTAGGTTCTAGCACATAAAGCGAAGCATAGGCACAAGTTTCAAGTCAATCAGAGATCAATTGACGACTCGGGGGGTGAAACTCGGGCATGACTTGAGGATGAATGAATTTCTACCTCATTTTATTGACAAAGAATCATGTCAGCTTTTCATTAGAAGGAAGAGGAAGAGACTACGAGCATATGGGATCAAACGACACCTGAATCGGAGGTCAAACGAGCTCAACGAAGCTTAGGAGTGCGTGCTGGAAATTGTGCACGGCCGTGCGAGTTTTCCAGGAGGTTTGCACGGCCAAAACCTCAATTTTCATGGCCGTGCAAGTCAGGGGTGCAAAGAGAGAGAGAGAGAGAGAGAGAGAGAGAGAGAGAAGGCGATCTAGAGCCATTCTCGAAGCTATTTTGGAGGATTCTTCACAATTGAAGCTCAAGGAACAAGTCTAGACATGAAGATTGAAGATCTAGAAAGTTATACTGCATTCTCTCTCTTCTCTATGGAGTAACTTCCCTTCAATTATGTTTAGAGGAACCCTAGCCATGTTTGTTTGATTGGATGATTGTAAGAGTACTCCTACTTGATAATCTTGAGTTCATATTCAATCTATGCATGTTTTCATGATTCAATTATGCTTTAGTCGAGATTATTGATCCTGCTTTGATCCTATGAGAGGGAATACCTGATTAGGTCAATAGAGCACCATAGATTGATAGTATTGGATCGATTTCTTTAGTCGATGATTGATTCAATGCTTTGTATTGATTGAGAAACTCATTCGATAGAGGGAATCTAGTTCGGAACTCCTTGATCGGTTGTTCTAGAGAAGGATACGTCCCTCTAGGCAATCAACTCAAGAGGGCCTTGATTTCTTTAGTCGAGATTCAAGGTCTAGTCAAGGATTCTCCGCATTGTGAATGAAAGTGAATAGGTTAGAGATCATCAGCCATTAATCTAGCTAGTGGCTAGGGAGAATCATACCTAAGTGAGTTCCCAACCTATAATTAGTAGTCTAACCTAGTTTAGCTTGTAGAGTAGTTTAGTTAATCAAACCCTCAATATGATTTGCTAAATAATGAACTGAAGCTGAGTAATAGTACATCTAGAGATCCGATGATTCTATATTTATTACTTTGACTACTATACTGCAGTCCCTTTCATTGGTTACACTTGGCCATTGTTAGGAGTTGTGTTTTAGCGAGTCACATATCATATGGTATAATCTTATTTAATACCAATCAATACTATATGGTATAGACTCGTAAAAAATGCCTTAAATTTTTTTTTGTTCTAAAAATATATCAAAGTGGGTATCATTTTGAAGAGCACAATTAATCATATTTATCTTTGCAAAAAAAAAAAAAATTCTAACTTAAAATGAAAGAGAAATCGTCTGTTAAAGATTTAAGGAGAAAAGATTTAAGTTATCATATAAAAAAAGAGGAGATGCTAATGTCACGCTAATGTGGACGGGTTACTCATTATTACTGACCGAATCTACTCTCATTAATCTTGTTTTATCTTATCGATTATCTAAAATGATTGAAATTGTCTATATGATATAAGATGTATAACAAATATAAAGAATATGAGTCGACCAATTTCATACTATTAAGTTCACAATCCTAAGGATATCAGATTATCAGTCAATATTAAATTAGTATGATGTATGTTGAATATATTATTGTATATTTACATTATTTTAATAATAATACTATTATATCGATATAATATTAGTAAAACCATTATTTGCCATTGTCATATTGTGTAGGGCAATGCTTGCTTGGCGAGCCAACCCCTATTTAGAGGTTCACTTTTCATTAAATCGAGCGGTGTGATCCAGAAGATTGAAGGCATTCAGAGGGATTTTATATGAGCAGACCTAGGTGAGCAAAGAAAGATATATATGATAGCATGGGAGAGGTGTAAAACACCAAGGAAATGGGGAGGTTGGAGAATCAAAGATTTAGAGTTAGGGTACTGATTTGTAAATGGTTATAACGGTTTGAGAATGAGAGATATACTTGGTGGAAGGAATTAGTGCGAATAAAATACGCAACTGGAGCAACGAGTTGGAATAGTAGTGATTTTACAGGAGTTATTGGTTGCAACCCGTGGAGGCAAATAATCAATCTGAATACTGCATTTTGGAAGATAGCCATGGTGAAGCTACGAACAGGAAGTGATTCATTTCTCGTGCAACTATTAGCTTATTGAAAGGACACTAGCTGAGATTTTTTTGAGAGTTGCGACTGTTGTTGTTTCCCCCACTTGCTAAGACATCACAAATTGTTCACATTGAAAATGATAGGTTAATTTGGGATTTACCATTTAAGTTCACTCTGAGAGGTGGGGTTGAGAGGTAGAGGGAGAGTCTAATGAATTATTTGGGTACCCTTGATCTTTCTTTCTTTTCTACAAGACTCAATTCTTTGGTTTGGCAAGCACCAACACCAACATCATTTACTGTACAATCCATGTACCAATGCCTGGTCTAAGGAGAAATTCACTCAGATGGAGGATTTTCCTTGCAATTTAATTTGGCGGGGGCATATACCTTCTATGATATGTACCTTCATATTGATAATACAGCAGAAGAAGATACTCACTCATGAAGCCTTTAAGAAACGCGAATGGAGCTTCTCCAGCAAGTGTGTTCTTTGCAGTGCAAGCAAAGACGCTACTCATATTTTTATCATCTGCAACTTCGTGTGCAAAATTTTGGACATATTGCGGGCATTTGTGTTTGTCAATCAGGTGTCGCCCGACATTACACATACAATCCAAAATTAGCCTCGAAAGAAGCCAACCAACCCGAAAGAATGGTGCACCAGATCCTTTCTTCATGCTCTTTGCTGGAGTATTTGGAGATAAAGGAACTACATGATCTTTGAATACAGAGCAACAACATAACATTTCATTGCTTACAGAATCGAAATCCTGATTGCAAGATGGTGTATAGTGGTGAATAAGGTGGAAAATGGTATTGTAGAAACGTGGCTAGAATCCTTAAGGCGGAGAAATGTGGGAGATGGTGAAGCAAACACTTTATAATTAGTATGTATCTCCGATCAGTAGCCTGAAGGGAGGCTCAGATGTATATATGTATGTGTTTGTTTTTACTAGACGGGCTAGTTATTGTAACAACCATTGCTCAGTTAGGCTGGCCAGACTATCAGTATTTCGTTTTTGTGATCATCTGGGTTGTCCCACAACCTGACTATGAATCAATATGTATTTTCTTTCTTTGTTTCTGTTTTCATCTTTACATTTCGCTTTGTTTTTGTGTCTTTTCAATCTCTTAATAAAATTTGTGTTGCCATTACAAAAAAAAAAAAAAAGGTTTCACAAACAATTAGTCAAATGAGTTTCTATTATTGATATTAGTCGGTTTAATGTTTGACGGAAATATTAAGATGTATAATATTTAAAGTTGTTGTACCACACCCTTTAATAAATATTAAGTATTGATCTCTAATGTATGATCTCATTTTATTCTTATCAGACATGGACTTACTCTAACATCCTGTTTGGATACAATTCTGGAAGAAATGGAAATGGAATTTCATTTTCATTTTTTATTTTTATAGAATTCCATTTTCAATTCTAGTGTTTGGTATAATTCCTACAACTATGAAAATGAATTGCACTTTTAGCCATAATAAATAATGTAATATGTTTGTTTTATTTTGGGAAATGAAATATGAATGCAAGAGAAAGAAAATAATATGATGGTAGGTCAATAAAATAATAAAAAGTATTGATGGGTCCCACTAATTCCATCTTCATGTCACTAAGACCAACCAATAATACTTAGTTCTTTATGTAACTATGCAACATAGAATTCTTCAAAGGATCTCAATTTGTAATCGAAGATTATTAGCTCTTAACTAAGGCTAGCTTAGTCCGGACAAAAAAGGTCAATATTTAGCTTACTTATTTAATGATAGTTTAAGTTTCTATTTGCAATCATTTATAATTGTCAAATTTTGACTTAAAGTATTATTGATATATATGGGAGGGACATCCTTGGTCCCTTGATGGAGTGAGACTAAGGAATGTATGCATACTTGAAAGATTGATATATTGATATCAAAACTCGTCGCATTATTCCTACTCTACATCAAGTAAATCAAATTTACTATATGAGTTTGAAACTTATTTGTTCCTTGTTGTTTATCCAGATTACATAATAAAGGAACACACCATTTATCAATATCAAAATGACAACGTGATAAGGATATATTGAAATGTTAGTTGGCTAAACTCACCTTCTTAGTCTCTTGGGTAGCAATGATGCATTGCTCATCACTCATTGTTTATGATTGTAGATGTTACAGTTATTACCAACGTGACAAAACCCTACAGGATCACACACAAAGATTTTCTTCCGGTCAATTTTACAGTCAAAGCACGTTTGATATGGACTAGAGTGTAAAATATAATGCTTTTAGCATTTAAAATAAGGAGCTAGAACTATCCTAGTTGTTAATTAAAAAATTATTAGTTTAATTAAGTACGGAGAGACACTTAACATGAGGTGGTAATTAGCATGAGGTGGCAATTGACATGATTTGTTAATAAGCACGAGATGTTAATTAAGCATAAAATGTAAATAAGTATGAGGTGGTAACTAAGCATGAGGTGGATTATAATGATGCAAGAATCCTTATCGTCCACATTATTACATGAGGTGATGAATTTAGGTTCATCTAAGAATGAATCATCACCACATTAGATTTTGATGACTCATATGGTTTACCATGAGATGCTGGATTTAAGTCAATTTGGAATGATTCATCTTCATATTTAATGAGTCATTGGATGACTCGTGTGTTCAAGGATGAGGTGTAGATTTTTTTCCACTTTAGATGAATCATCACTATTTCATGAACTTATAAACAGGGATTGAAATTTGTGACAAATTTAAGCAATTCACTTGCCATCTCTAGCTCTCTTAGGCATCTCGAAAATTTTGTAAACATTATAGCTTTGTATTCATCCAATAGTTTATGGCTAGCGACCTAGAATCATGCGGTAGAGG